AGTGTTAATTTATCTCTTTATCGAAGTTAGGCCTAACATAAGTTAAATTTTTATAAAGTACGGCCTATATACAAGTGGATTTACACATTTCGTTGTCTACGCTTACAATTCGTTTGTATTGTGCTAGAAATGTTATATTTAAAGAAGTGCTGTTACGATAAAGATACTAATTTGACCGGAAATGTTTTGCGGGTCTCTACTAATTATACTTATTTTCTCCAGGTTGTTAGGTAAGTAATCAAAGTATAACAAAAATAAAGGTTGCAAAATAAAGTGTATTGTTAGTAGTGATTACAAAATTTCAAAGTACTTATAGTCAGAGTTTACGCTTTCACCTTTTCACACTTATTTTCTGTAGTTATTTTATTGCTAGTAGATGAGATACAAATTAGAAGAAACAAAATGAATAGTACTCTGTTCTTTTCAGTACAGACAATAAAGTTCCAAGTAAATCTCCCGAGAGTTTCTTCTAATCTTTTTTACACCTATTTCGTATTGGTATTCTACTGTTAGCTACACGAGGGCTATCTGCGCTAGCCGTCCCTAATTTAGCAGTGAAAGGCGAGATGGAAGGCAGCTAGTCATCACCACCCACCGCCTACCCTGGAGTTACTCTTTTACCAACAAATAGTGTGATTGACCGTAAAATTATAACGTCTCAACGGCTAAATATTGAAACGTGTCTCTTTAAAAAATACGTTCTTGAACTTTAAAAACAAATAACATCCATTGAATACTTCGCTGGTGGTATGGGAGTTCACGCGCCCGATGTGCAATCAGGGATATATTGGATTAACCATTAGAAGGTCCTACAGTCCAGTAAAAGAACACTGTAGCAATAAAATCTACAAAACCAGAAATATTACCAGCCACTGTCTAAACCTACAATACCAGTAGTATTACCAGTCACTGTCTAAACGAATTCGATGTCGTGCCTATCTCCAGTTTTTATGGCGTAATTCTCCATTCCTGGTAAGAGTTTCATCTTAGAATTTCTAGAAACTCTTGCTATTAAGTTAAGAAAACCAGATCTTAACAAGAAGATGAACACGCTACCACCAAATCTTCAAATGTGAAAACGTAAAGAAAATAAAAGAACATGGAGTTCCGTCTACGAATGTTAGGATCGAATAAAATGACTTTAATAAGTATCTCCAGCAAGTAAGAATATGAAACTACACCCTATACTGATGTTGTATCTAGTGTGAATTCCAATTTTTCTTGAAGTTTACAAACTATATTTTCTTGTTTATTGTTTAAAACATTTCACACAGTTTAAGGTCGTGATATTCTTAATAATTTCGGTGAACACCACGTTTAAAATAATTTTGTTAATAAAAATAGATTAATAAACAATGATTTTTCTTTTAAAAGTAAGCCCAACCAATACAAACAAAATACTGGGCATTGCACTAATAAAAGACTGAAAAATATGATTTGTGGAATAAACCAAACATGGTAGTAAGTTCAAACAGATATTATTTATAACAATGTTCGTAAAAATATATGAATATCTTTTGAAACTGAAAAATCATTCAGTTCTTATGAACTTCAGTATCCATAATGATTATACTGTAATTTCACGCATTAAAGCAGAGTTTGTTTTAAGCACAAAGCTACGCAGTGTGCTATCTGAGCTCTGCCTACCGCGACTATCGAAACCAGAATTGCAACATATCAGCTTCTGTGTTTACCGCTGAGTCACCGAAGGGGTTAAAATTTGTTAGTCGTCCCTAATTTAGAAGTGACAGACTAGAGGGAAGGCAGCTAGTCGATACCATACATCGCCAACTCTTGAGCTACTATTTACCAACGAAAAGTGGGATTAAAGTCACATTATAACACCCCTACAGCTTAAAGGGCGAGCATATTCGGTGACGGGATTCAAACCCGCGATCCGAATATTGCGAGTCGAGCGCCCTAACCAGCAGGTCATGCCAGGCTGGGGCTTAAAGCAGGGAGTTTTGAGTGTGTATATACATATATATATATACCTTTAATGGGGTGTGTGGTATACGGTTAATGATGAACTAAATATAGCTAATGACTTAACTTCTTAGAACAGATCACAGCTCTTTACTTTATAAACTGTGATGAAAATGAATTTTCTTGATTTTTTTACTGTGTTATGCGTGCATTCAGTAAATTAAATAACGGAAGTACAGTGCAATAACAAAAAAAAGAAAGACTAAAAACACGATTTCCGATCATATGCTTGATCTAATGGTTGGTGATTGATACCAAAAACTTTGGGAATATCAGTAACAGATGCTCAAAAAAAATTAGTTTTGACTTCCTTCTTCGTTTTCATAGTTTAAATTGGTTTAAGAGTTTTCAACTATTAAGTGTCATAAAAAAATGTAAATTGCTATCTATTTGCTGTAACTGTTATATCGAGCAGTTGAAATCGGGCTAAGTATGACATATTTTAGCTATTGGTTTTAATTCTAACAGTTTTAATTTTACTCTTGTTTGGTGCTTTAATAAATATTTAAAAATATTTTTCTATACGAAATATTATTAACGAGGGAAATTTCTAGAACAATGATTATTATAAGCAAATATGAATCAATACAGAAGTGAGAAATAGCATAGTATTAAAGCATCTTGAGAAAAAATGTTTAATTAAAATCTCCTGACTGTTTTATTTGTTTAATAGAATATTGGAAATAAGCTAATGTTATTATTTAGCTAGAATGTTTGATAGTAAGTTTGGTTTTGTTGCTGTTAACATTATTTGAAACTTAAAAGTTTACAAACGAATTTTAAAATATCACAAAAAATTCATATAATAGATATTCTCATAATTTTGCGTATCATTCATATCACTAACACTATTTAAAAATTACTTAAAAGTAACTTAATTTTTACGCAAATATTTACATACCAAGTAATGCTTTATGGATATTTCAATAAAGTAAATATTATAGCTTGTTTCAACAATATTAGTGCACTTAAAATAAATGAAACATCTGTGTTTGAAGACATTTAATTTAAAGAAATAGCGCACTTGCTTGTAGAGCCTAAATTATCATTATTATCATATAATATCGAGATCGTAATTCGGGGAAATGGGAACGATCAGCGATTAAAACTACTTCAATTTGGTCTATAGATATGTAGCAATTGTATACTCATTGTTAATTTACTTTTTACCATTTTCCAAGATAAATTTATTTTATTTGGGATATTTTATTGTAAAATATTCCTAAAATGATTATCTCTGCGTTCTCAATAAAATAAAAAAACCGACAGTAAATATCAAGTTATGGCAATAACTTATTAAAATTAAAAGCAAGATAAAATAATGAAATAATAATATAACCATATTATTCGAAACGAAAAATTAACTAAAAACATCTATGTCTACTTAGCTACCAGCTGTAAGCTACAAACAGAATCTGGTTTAATACTTTTAATTTTGAACAAGTTATTTAAGCTGAAAACAAAGGTCAGTAAACGGAGCAGAATCTGAGACTCTACTTTACGACTGAAAGCACCGACCGTACTTTACATGAAATAAATCCACAATATAAAAACTGCCCCCCAATGGCACAGCGGTATATCTGCGGACTTACAACGCTAGAATCCGGGTTTCGATGTCCGTGGTGGGCAGAGCACAGATAGCCCATTGTGTAGCTTTGTGCTTGATTACAAACAATCAAACAAAAACTAAAATAAGAAGCATTTCCCTATATATGATGTTGTCGTTTTAAAAAACTTCAGAACGAGGAATCGTGATTCAAAATTGTTAAATATAGAAGGTTATTAAGGCTACTTTCCAAATTTCGTGCATCCTTACTTTTGTTTTTATTCTGAATGAGAGAAATTTGTTATTTTTTAGCATTCAAAGCGGTATAATATTTGTCATTAAAGTCGCAGAATTTCCTTCACAAATTTTCTCATATCACAAATACAATTAAAAAGTTAACTATACAGTGAAACAAATCTAGGCAATTTTTACAAAGAAAACATGAAAAAAATAAAGCTTTGTACAGATACACTATATGAAAAGAACAAAATTCAAAAGTTTGATTAACATTTAATTCAGGACTCATCTTGCGTATCCACAAATTTTCTTTAATGCGGAGCATTTCTTTACTATGTGCACTCTCCAAAATGTTAAAGTGTCTTGAAGTGACATTTGTGTCACAGTCCTGTAAACAGTGGCGAAGGATGGACGACTGATTATATGCTGTGTTTTGCGCATGCTCTTTAAACGTGAGCTCAGCAAGCGTATTGTAGTGCCCACATAGCCAAGGTTACACCTTGGACATGTAAATTTGTATATGACGTAAGAGTGATGCGTTATGGGAATCCTGTTTTTAAATTAAAAATAATTACTTAAATGAAACATCGGTTTAAAGACAATTCTATACTTAATATGTGTGTAAATTTTATTATTCAAAATAGATTTACTTTTTTCCTTAATTCTGTAGAATGATTACCAGTAAATGATAGAATGCAATAAACTATTTCTTTGTTTTCCTCCTCTTTACTAATTTTTGAAGTGTACAAAACTTTTAAATAATTCCTGATAACACTATCAGTTAATTGTACAGGAAAACTATTTTTTTTTATAAAACAATGTATAGGTTTTGTATTTCTTCATGAAAGAGGAAAAAGAACTAATTATGTTATAAGCCAGATGAATTAAATTATGAATTAGGTTCTTTTTAAATTCAAAACGTAATAAACTATCAAAATGAAAATATTGTCCTGTAAAAGTTGGCTTGTGATAGCACTTAGTGTTAAAACTTCTACCTAAGTTAACAATTATTGTATCAAAGAAAGGTAAGCTATTAACTCTTTTTTTTTTTCAACTGTAAATCTAATATTGTTATGTTTATTGTTCAGATAATTTTGAAATTCTTGAATATCAATTATATTCTTAAAAGCTACAAAACTATCATCAACATATCTTCTATAGTATATAGGTTTAAACTTTTCCGGACAACACATGCGCAAAACACAGCATATACTATAATCAGTATTCCATACTTCGCCACTGTTTACAGAGCTGTGACACAAATGTCACTTCAAGGCACTTTAACGTCTTGGAGAGTGCAGATAGTAAAGAAATGTTCCGCACTAAAGAAAATTTGTGGATACACAAGATGAATCCTGAATTAAATATTAATCGAACAGCGTCATCTTAGTTTCTAATTCAAAGGCTTGTAAAATACACATGAAATACCAAATGTTTAACTTATTAAGTTATGTATATTCTTAGACACTCTTAAAAACATACACATCTCTCATGTATATACTTGTTGCTTTTTTTTCTTCTTAAAATTAACTCTTGAATCGTCAAACATTCAAGTGTTTAACTTGTACTTCTGTGATAGTTATTGTCCTATAAACACTTCATACGTGTTTAGTGAGTATACATAAATGTTTGGAGAAAATATGAGGTGATGAAATCTAGCTTACAAAAGAGAAACTTGTTATATTTTATAACGATTTAGGTCATGATGAGTCTCCCGGTGAGACAGCTGTAATTCTCCAGACTTAAAACTGTACAATCTGGGGTTCGATGCCAGACGGTGGACACTGTGCAGCTAGCCACTGTGTAGCTTTGCGCTTAAAAACTAAATGTGTGGCGATACAGCGATATGAGACGAGTACTGTATCGTGAAGCCGTGTTACAATTGTATCGATACATCGTCAGATACGATATGATTTATCTATCTTCCCGAAATTTGGTAAGCTTTCAGGAAACATTATAAGTCTTTTGTACAGAAAAAAATCAGAATTTCTAATAAAATGTTTTTGCTAAAAATTAATAATTCAATAAATGAAGATGAGTATTGAGTACTACATGCTGTATTCATTTCTTTTATCAAAAACATTACATGTAAAGTAATATAACAAATTAACAATAACAAAATAGATAGACAGATATTAACTTTTTATATTTTACTTCTCTTGCCAGCTGCCATTTAGTTAATCAAACCCGAGAACTTGAAAAAGCACTGTAAAACTTTGTAACAAACCGTTGATAAAACTTCTGTTTCTTGATACGTTTCGTATTGACTACTATGATGAGATATACACCCCTATTAAAAACCTTCACGTCACAAGTTGTGGCAAATGTTTCAGCAACGAACCCGAAACGATCTCATAAACACCAAGTTCATACATTTACTGTCTGTTAAAATTAGTTCGTACTCTTCTGTGGCTTCAAATTCGTTTTTACTTTAGAATATATCGATTTTTAAAAATTATATTGTACGATAACAAAAAAATAATAATAACGGATTTACCTTCGAAACCATCTTCGCAACACACACACATAAATCGTTCTTTGTCTGCACTACAATGCTAAAAAATCAAGTCGCTAGCCTTAATTATATTTCTGTTGGGAAAGGCTCAAGGGATTTGTGCGCTGCATATGCACTAAAACATGTAAGCAATTTTGCCACAAGATGGTGATAATTTACAAATGCAAATAATTTTAAGTCATTTCAAGCTAAACTATTACACCAGGTTATAATGAATTTCCTGTTGTATAATTTGATTTGTAAACAGAGGAAACATTTTTTCGTAATTAAGGAGAAACATTTTAAAGTAATATTCAAAATATATAATGTTTGATCATACATTACTACCTACATTAAAAGTTAAACAAACAAATGTCTTACATTTTTTTTTTACGTTTATGTTTTAATAGATTGGGCTGACTAAAAATAAAATAAGTGATCGTAGAAGTATGATTAAATGGTCATATAAAAGTGCTACGCTCTTTTTGTATTTAATGGGAATTCTTCATGAAATGAGTAATGGTAAATGTTAAACATTTTGTTTTCACTCCAATGTTATAGCTGTAAAAAAAATCAGATAATATTATAGAATTTTCCCATTTGGTTATCTCAGCAGAAACAAAAACTGTTTCTCTACTTCTAGCCACCAAAAATCACTTACTCACAATATTTTTTTTCCTCTTTGTAAAGTAAACTAATTTAGCATCATACATAACATAGTCATAAGAAAAACATTCACAAAACTTTGGAATTGGGTTTGTACATTAGATATTAAGAACTAACAAAAACGTAGTGTGTTTGTCTGTCTGTTTTTGTGTTAACGCAAAGCTACATATTGAGCTATCTCTGTTCACCTCGGGGAATCAAGCCCCAAATTTTATCGTTACAGGTCCGTAAAGTTACTGCTGACCTACCAGAAGACCAAACAAAAACAAATTTCATCCTTCTACTTCCACAAAGATATGACAACATAGTTCAGTAAGGGCAGCAAAAGTGAGTTATCTCGAACTTTCCGAGTTTATAGTTTCACTCTATGACTGACTGAAACAATGTGCATACTTTACATGAAATAAATTAAAAAACCCAATATCGTGTTAGAAGTAGCACGTCTTGCCACAAGAGTTAGAGTTTATCCAATAGGAATTAAATACAACTGTACTATTCATAACATCTCAAAACGTTTATGAGGTTGGAGTGATGCAGTGGCTATCATTCTATCGAGAGGTTTGGAAGAAAATATACAGGTTGTTTTATTTTAGAGAAAAAAAGTTAAAATGCAGATAATTTTAAGTCAATTCAATCTTTATTTCTACATACAACCAAATTATAATACATTTCCTGTCGTATAATTTGATTTATGAACAAACAGAAACACTATGTCATAATTAATGAGAGAAGTTTTAGAATAAAGTTCAGAATAAACAATACTGTAAATGTATTATATTCGCTTTTTTTATGTGACTTGAAATTCGCTTTCTCTTAAGAACATATAGAATTTAAAAAAGAATATGTATTTGAATTTATATCATAAGACAGATAAAAATAACGGATTTACCTTCGAGGTCATTTTAACCACACACACAGATGTGCATGAGCAGTGCTAAAAAAAAAACATCCAGTCGCTAACGGCCAAATAATTAATTATCTTTTTGTCGGAAAACGCTCAGAGGATTTTATGTTGTTTACGTACTAGAAGATGTATGCAGTTTTGCCACGTGATGGTGATCACTTGCAAATCACGTGTAACATCTATACTTCTTTTCTTGAGTTTACATTGGTTTAAAGAACTTCTTTAATTACGGTGAGAAGTACAGACTATTTTTTTTATGTTAACTAAACTGCGTTTCTGTAGTTGTCTCCAGACACTAAAGAAACACAATCTGCGGAGGCTAGGCAACCCATCAGAGTGAAAGATACGTATAATATACTGAGCTGATTACAAGTAAGAAAGATACGTATAATATACTGGGCTGATTACAAGTGAGAAAAGATACGTATAATATACTGGGCTGATTACAAGTGAGAAAAGATACGTATAATATACAAAAAGATAAAAGTAACTTTCCGCCTTAGTTATCAGAATATCGCTAAGAATAAAGAGAGCGAAAAAAGAGAAAAATGAATAACTACTCATCCACCAGAACAGTGACTCATAGCACCACTCATTATCAATTACAAGTCCAGTTCAGTATATAATACGTATCTTTTCTCACTTGTAAGCAGCTCAGTATATAATACGTATCTTTTCTCACTTGTAATCAGCCCAGTACATTATACGTATTTTTTCTCACTTGTAATCAGTTCAGTATATAATACGTATCTTTTCTCACTTGTAAGCAGCTCAGT